CTGCTTTTGCAGCTAGACACCACTATACATGTAATAGCTCAAATATAATTCTCCTAAGTATCAGTACAAGTGGCCTTTGGTATTTTGGGGCTCTTATCCACAGATTCACTATAAGATGAAAATATCCTTTTTTAAAAAAATGTTTATAGGGACTGGAAATGTTTATAGTGCACTTAAGAGCACTTGCTCTCCAGAGGGCTCACGTTATCCCAGCATCTATCATGGTCAGCTAACAACTGTGTAATAACTTCAGATTCAGGGGATTTGACACCTTTTGCTAACCCCATGTGCACACGTGTATACATACACACACAACTAAAATTAAATAATTATTTAAAAAGTAAAATAAATTAAAGATGCATGGATTGAGATTCACTGGACTAGGCTCAATATAGGTTAAAATAATTTTATTAGGGAAGAAGCACTTACACAGGAAACAGATGACCAACACAAGTTCCTGTTTTAATCTCAGCCAGAGGCAGGCAGATCTCTGTGAGTTCAAGGCCAGCCAAGAGCTACATGAGACCCTATTTAAAAAATAAAAAAAAAAACCCTGCTTCTCTACCAACATGGCTGACTTTTCCTTGGTCATTATCATTTAAATGATATAGTATTAACAACTATTTACATTGTATTATGTATTGTAAGCAATCTAGAGATGGTTAAAATATAGGGAGGATATGACCAGGTTGATATGCAAATAGTCATCATTTTCTATAAGGGACAAGTATCCATGCAGTTTGATATCTGCAGAGGGTCCTGGGATAAATTCTGAGGGTGAATATACTGGTGGAAAAATTAGCAGGATAACTTTGCATGAGACCCAAGTTGACAGGATCTTTGAAAAGGTTGTCATGGCACTCAACTCTTGACTGTCATTCAAAATTAAAAATAAAAAAATATGTGAAGTAATATGTTCAGGAGCTTTTTATGGGCCAGTCTTAAAGGTGTGCATATCACTTCTACTTGCATTCTGTCCTCTTGATCTCAGTCACATGGCTCTGCCAAAAGAAGGGTAGAAAGCATAATCTAGTTAACTGCCCAAGATGGAGGGAACAGGGATTTTAATGAACATCTATCAGCCGCTACCATCACTCCTGTGGTCTGTGGAGTAAAATAGTGTGAAGCAGCCAAATTTTCTCTAGTCCAAGCCAGTTCAGCTATATGCTATTTAGATGTCAAATTTTTGACAAAATCTATTTTCATTTTCTCTTACTATTTTTTTGTTCCTTCTTCTGGGATTTAAGCCTTTCCCCCCTTAACTATAGTGTTAGGAAAATTTTGGTTGGGAGCAAAGTAAATATCAGCTATGTAACCTCCTGAAGTATGTAGGCATGGGGCTGGAGTGATGACTCAAGGGTTAAGTGAATTGACTGTTCTTGCAGAGGACCCAGGATGAATTTTCAGCTCCCACATGTTGGTTCACTACCATCTGTAACTCTAGTTTCAGAGGATTTGATGACCCTTTTTTGGCCTCTAAGGGTACCAGGCATGCACATGGTGCACATATATACATGCAAGCAAACCCTCAAACACATAAAAATGAATAAGTAAGTAAAATTTAAAAATTTAAAACGTATGTAGACATGGGGCTGGAGAGTTGGCTCAGTGGTTAAGAGCATTGGCTACTCTTTCAGAGGACCCGGGTTCAATTCCCGGTACCCATATGGCAGCTCATAACTGCCTATAACTCCAGTTTCAGGGGCTCTGACACCCTTCACACAGACATGCATGTAGGCAAAACAAAAATCCACATGAGATAAAAATAAAAAATTGTAAAAAGTATATAGATATGAACCATACTCCTGGAATCCAGTTGTGGAGAGGGAGGTTGTGGAGAGGGAGGAAGGATGAGCAAAGGAGCCAAGATGGTGCTGCAGAAACCCACAGAAACAGTTTACCTGACCTAGTGAGAGCATGGAGACCCTCGTCATAAAGCTGGCGAAACAGCATTACTTACAGGCATTAGTCAGTCACAGCCAAGAATATGTCTGAAGGAACTGATCCCAGCCATTTCAAAAGGCTATCTTTCTGTAATGTGTTTAGTGAACCAGAGTGCTGCATTCTATGGCTTACATACCATAATAGCTAAGATTTCAATCGCCTTGATTTTTTTTTTTTTTTTTGGTCTGAAGTTAATACTAATATAAACTTGTGAAAATAGGGAACTTGGGAGGATGGAAGGGGGAGGGAATGGGGGAATGGATATGTAAATATGAGTAGTAATTAAAAATTTTAAATAAAAATTAAATTAAAAAGTATGTAGATATAATAAAATGATCAAATATCTGAGTTTAATATGGGTTACTTGGTTGCTGTAAATCTGCTATGGAAATTAAACATATTTCTTATATCTGGCGCCCTTATTTTTATCATTTCATTGTATTGGGCTTTTTTATTAGAGTAAGAACTGAAACCAGATTTATGACTTAAAAATACATACATAACTGATAGAGCCAGGCATTGGTGGTGCATGCTTTTAATATCAGCACTTGACAGGCAGAGGCAGGCAGATCTCTGAATTCAAGGCAGCCTGGTCTACAGAGCAAGTCCCAAGACAGCCAAGACTACACAGAGAAACACTGTCTTAAAAAAAAAAACAAAAGAAAAAATAAGTATCCAGTATATATTTTTGATATTTTGGGATTTTGTCTTTCCAGGATCTAGGAATGTTAAGTATGCTCTTTAGCTTAAAGAGGAAGGAAGGCTCCAGGAGAAAGAGAAGAAAATACAGAAGGATGACTATACTAGGAATGAATTCAGAATGCTAATGATTAGGCTTCTCTGTGAGATTAAAAATAACCAGATACTGTTGTGTTCAGCAAGACAGTGTCGAAGGAAGGAGCTTTTGATAGGAGATTTTGATTAGATGGCCCTTAAAGCCCCATATGCAAATTCAGTTTGTCTGGGTAGGTCCTGCTAAGTGGGACTTAGCAGAAACTACCTCCCTGCTTTAGTATGGCCAGGATCCATCTTATTAGTGAAAGAGATTAAAATGAGGAAGTTCTTTCTATTGAGGAACAAAGTGTTCTCTCAGCATTGCATCGCAAAATCTGATGGAGTTAGTACTTTCTCTTGCCACCCTTATCAAGCTAAGAGACATACATTTCTCTCATCAGTGCTTATTCTTCTCCTTGGCCCAAGGATACTAATTTATAACCTTATTTGCCAGGAATCAGTGTATTTTAGGAATCTATTTATTCTACTCACTAGAGTTACAGTGAGCCGCAGCTCTGACACCCTTCTTCCTTTGAAATCTGTAAGGTAGCTTATAATAAAGACTTTTCCTCTGCTATCCCTTTCCCCAGGACCTTCTGGGATCTAGACTTCTAAGAGTAGCTTCTTAACCTGTCAACCACAGGAGAAATGTGGTTGGTTAGGATATTGGGACTAAGCGCTATCCTTTGAGAGTTTTGAAACATTATTGTAAAGTAAGCACAAGATTCATGTACATAGAAAATTTCTCAGGTCAAATGACTTAGCCTAAAAAGAGAGAGAAGAAGAAATGTTCTAAATGGTCTGGAGGCCACTTGAGCAGGAATAGAGGAACATTATCTAGAAACTCAGACTTGTCAATCTGTTTCTTGACATTCGGTTCCTGAAACATATGTAGTCTGTTAAGTTCTCTTCTTGGTCACTGTTGTCTGTCTTAACTCTCCACTTTCTTGTTAACTATACTTCACTAAGTATAGTGTAGCTTATTAGTGAAAGGTAGGTAGAGTGTTTGACTAGAATATAAACACTAGCATACAGTAGGTTAAATCCTCAATACCGTGGAAAGAAGATATTGAGGGACAGAAGACAGGAAAGAGGAGGAGGAAGAATAGGAGAAAAGTAGAAAAATGAGTAACATGATAGGCCAAATATTTTCAAGTCTACAGATTGTCAGTGAAGATGATTCCTGTGGGTTTTGCCTGGTTCCAAAATGTTAAGATGTTTACTCAGCTATGAATTACTGTCTTCCTATTCCATCAGCCAAGCTGGTTAACTCCACCTTTAGAAGAGCCAAGCCCATAAGGCATCTGCAAAATAGATATGAAAAGTAAGACTATATAGGTATTACATTTATCATAGTAATTAGCAGAGCTTCTGAGTACCCTTGACAATGAGCTGCCCTTTTTATAAGGCATTAAAAATACAGAGATCACTTATTCCAGAATAAAGCTTCTTTCTCCTTGCTTGCCCTTGTAAAGGGAGGAAGGCAGAAGTCCACATCACCAGGTCTCTTCAGTCCTCTTAAGCCATAGTTGGTCCTATCTCATGTATTAGTTACTTCTCTATTACTGTGATAAAACATCATGACCAAGGCAATTTATTGAAGGAAGGTTTATCTGAAATTATAGTTCTAGAAGGATAGAGTCCATCATCATCACAGTGGGGAAGTGTGGTAACAGGCAAGTATGGTGATTGGAGCTGGAAGCTGAGAGCCAAAGGCTCACATCTTGAACCACAAACAGGAAGCAGAGAGGACACAGTGGGGATATTGCAGGGCTTTGAAAACCTCAAAGTGATGTACTTCCTCCCACAAGACCACACCTCTTGGAAGCAGGAACTGAAGCAGAGGCCATGGATGAATTCTGCTTAAAGGCTTGTTCCTCATGGCTTATTCAGCCTGCTTTCTTAAATGCCTCAGGATTACTTTCCCAAGCACAGCACTACCTGCAGTGGGCTGGGCCTTCCACATCAACTGTCAGTCAATAAAATGCACCTCAGGCTTTCCTATGGCCAACCTGATGGAGACATTTTCTCAACTGAGGAGCCATCTTCTCAGGTAACCTGAGCTTATGTCAGTTGACAAAAAAAAACTAAGGACAATCCAGAGTAGCCTATTACATATTGATTTATAGACCTGCCCTGACAATACCTGTGACATCCTCACATGAGGCAAAGTTGGAGCTGCTAAGTGAGGTTCCTTCATTACTTCTGTGGAGCCCAGGTGGGGTGGTGGGAGAAGAGGAAGTGGTCTGGAAGTAAGACACCTCTACTTTCTATCCCTCAAGCAACCTCACAACATTCTGCAGAGGCGCCTCATGGAAACCAACCTGTCCAAGCTCCGGAGCAGTCGTGTCCCCTGGGCCTCCAAGACCAACAAATTCAATCAGGCAAAGTCTGAAGGGCTAAAGAAGTGTGAAGATGATGACATGATTTTAGTGTCCTGCCAGGTAATGTTCAGGGAACAGCTTTTCTAGAAGTTTCTAGAAAGTAGGATTTGGAGGCCCTTTATAATCCCAATAGTATGTCCTCTCCTCAAAACTTTATAGACAGTGGTTCTTAACAAGAAATTAATAAGTGAGTTTTAAAGTTCTATATATTAGAAATGCATATTGTATTTTATGTGTGCACATTTGGATGAGAAGAAGTACCAAAGCTTTTTGTCAGATTTACAAAAGGATGTGGGATGTAGTTCAGTAGTAGAAAACTCATCTAGCATGTTCAAGGCCCTGTATTTGACCCCAGAATGATTTTTTAAAAAATATTGTATATATAATATTTAGCATATAGAATGAAACCCCCAAAGTTCCTTATGGGCATTCTATCAGCCTTAGAATTAGCAGTAAAAAGAGGCAATCAAAGACAGATTTAGCAGTGAGGGGAAACAGGGCAGCACCGACCGACTGACCATTTGGAAGGTTGCTCTCAAACCACACCTTTCATTTGACATCTTCTTGCTGCTTCTTGCTCTTTGCTTCTTTTCTCTTTTGCTTCTCTAGATCCTATTAAAGAGTATATTTCCTTCCCACAGTGTGCTGGAAAGGACGTGAAAGCTTTGGTTGACACCGGTTGTCAGTATAATCTCATCTCTTCGGCCTGTGTGGACAGATTGGGGTAAGGAGCCACATGGGCTGGGTGCACATCAGATGTAATTATCCTCCTTGTTTGCATCTGATTTAAGGTTATTGATGCTGGGATGTATCCACAGAAGCACAGAGAAACATGCTAAGTTTTTATCTAGGCTAGAACCAATTTCCTTAATAGAGGGGAAATGTGGCAGTTGTCAAACAGCAGAAGAGATCCAGGACACCTTGGGCCTTCTGCTAACTCCCACATTCTACATTTTGAGCAGACTTCTAGACTGGGATGAGAGAGAAAATCCAGGTTCTCCTCTCCTGGACAGAGAAAGCCATTCTGTCTTACTGCCATTTCACTCAACCTTTCCTGTTACTTCTTTCCTTTTCTCCATTCTTTATTCTAAAGTTCCAGATGGCCCCTGCGGTAAAATAAGCAGAATCAACCTAGTATTGTTTCCTTTATTTCCCTGTAGAGAGTAAATCATTCCTCAGACCAAATCTCTGCAATTAAACAGTTACTGAGACAGACCAAGTGACCTGTTTTGAACTTCATCCAAGACATTTGTATTCTCAAGTGGGCTTACCCAGGGCTTCATTTAGGTTCTTAATGACTGCATTACATATCTTCTACATCTGCTTTGTTCTCACTCCCCAACACTGCTGTGATTCCCTGACGTTGGCTCTGTGAATTTTGCACATTGCTATCTAGGGTTGGGGTAAAGTAGATTCCAAGACTCAAGTGTGAAGAATCTTAAATTTGTTTTTTTTTAATGTGATCAAGAGATGAGGTATGTACAATATGATGGTTCCAGAAAGACTAATAATGTCCTGGTGCATAATTAGGCAGCAGACTGCCATGATTCTGGAGGAATTAATAACCATCTGTAATCTGCAATTCCTTTTCTTTTGGATGAGCTGTAACACCAAAAGAGAGGAAATGGAGGAGAGAAGAAGTATTGGCACAGAAAGTCCATAATTAAGTATTTATCCACGAACCCATAATAGCTTGGGTGCTAGCTATTCCAATCAGCTTATGTAATTGTGTGAGCCCTTGGTGCTGTTCCTTTCTTTCCTTTCTCCATAATATTCTTTGCTGGTACCAATATCAGTGTACTCACCAAGTAAATGCCTGTCCCCATTAACCTCATAGCCTAAGACAATCTGATGGGAATAAACTGAATTAGAAAGGAGGGGAAAAATGGGACCATGAATAAAGCCTTTTCTAAATTAGGATTAATTTGTCCTCTGGTATCTGTTACCCACAGATGGGTAAAAGACACATTAATTAAACTACCTCGAACACATATGGGGATGTTAGGATGCAAGCAGAATTCTCTGAATGTGTCAACTCCTCTCTTCACAAATGCAGGTAGTGATGTAAGCGTCTTAAAAATAGGAAACAAGTCTAGTCTCGTGGTCTTTTGTATTCCCCTGGCATGTTTAGGAAAAAGGGTTGAAGCAACTATAGGCTGGCTAGCCCAGGAAGTCCCAAAAGTATCCCTATTGTGAATCAGAAACCTTTGCCAACAAGATTATGATATCTTTCTGTGTTTCAGACTAAAGGACCAAGTCAAATCTCACAAGCATGAAGGAGAAAAGCTTTCTCTACCACGGCATCTCAAAGTAGTTGGCCATATTGAGCACCTGCTGATTACAGTGGGCTCTCTCCGTCTGGATTGCCCAGCAGCTGTTGTTGGTGAGTTAAATTGGGGACTAGACCCATGTACTTAACGTAAACCTTTCTGAAGTCTCATGCCTGTAATACTGACTTCTTCCAAATAAAATGTTCCTATTTCCTTGTGCTGTATGCCTTTGTGTTAATTTTACCCTTCCAAGTGAAGTAATTAAAGTGTCACCATACCCAGCACATTTAGGGTTTTTTTTTTTTTTCTTCTTCTTCTTGAGACAGGATCTTTCTAAATAGTTCTATCTATCCTGTTTTTTTTTTTTTTTTTTCTTCTTGAGACAGGATCTTTCTAAATAGTTCTATCTATTCTGTAGCTCACTAAACAAACAAGGCTGGCTTTGAACTCACAGAGATTCTCCTGTCCCTCCTCCCGAGTGCTGAGATCAAAAGCATGCACAAACATGTTCAGCCCAGCACATTATTTTTTTAATCTTTAAATATGTATTTACTGGGGGCTGGGAGATGGCTCAGTGATTTAGAGAATTTCCTGCTCTTGCAGTAGACTCAAGTTAGGTTCCCAGCATCTACATAGGATGGCTGACAACCAATTGTGACTTCAGTTCCAAGGGATCTGACACCTTCTTCTGATGTCCTCGGGCTCCTGTACACATATGTGGTTTATACACATAAACAATAAATAAAGAAATCTTTAAAAATAAGATGGGGCTAGTGGAGTTGCTCTGTGGATTAAGATGCTTGCCATCAAGCCTGACAGCCTGAGCTTGATTCCCCAGAACCTACTTGATGGAAAGAGAAAACTGATTTTTGCAAATTGTCCTTTGACTTCCACATGTGATACATGGCACAGGTGCTCGCCCTCGAATAAATATATGTAATTAAATTCTTTAGTAATAAAAACTATACTTGATTATATAAGGCTATTTTCATACAAGTATATAAATGTACTTTGAACATATCCCATTTTCCTTTCTCACTCTTCTTGGTCCAATTAGTTCCCATTGTTTCCCTAGACAGCTTCACTACTATTTTATGTTATCTGTTTATATATGATTTTGTGTATCCATATGATATCTGAGACAAGCAAATGAGAGAAAACAAGAAGTATTTGTCTTTTGGGGACTGACTTAATTTATTTCCTGTGATTATCTCCAGTTGCATCTATTTTCCTACAAATGGCATAGCTTCATTCCTTTTTTTCCCCTTTGGTTTTTTTGAGACAGGGTTTCTCTGTGGCTTTGGAGGCTGCCCTGGAACTTGCTCTTGTAGACCAGGTTGATCTTGAACTCAGAGAGATCAGCCTGCCTCTGCCTCCCCAGTGTTGAAATTAAAGGAGTGCACCACCACCGCCTGGCTGCTTCATTCTTTTTTATGGATAAAAAAAAATTCATTGTGCATATAGGCCACAAGGAAATGGACTTTCTCTACATTTACTTATTTACTCGTTTGGGAGGGGCATGCTCATGTGACATGACACTGTATGCAGTCAGAGGTTAGGTCTCTCCCTCTACCATGTGGATTCCAAGGGTTGAATCAGGTCTCTAGCACCTTGCCCACTGAGCAATCTTACCTGCCTGAAGACAGATATTTTTATGTGCAAGTTAAAATGTCCCCAAGGGCACTTTTCATGAACTTGGTATTTGTAACATGGGTTCTAATAGGTCTTAACAATAAAAGCCTGGAGTCAGATACTGGGGGTGAAAGCTGAAATATCTGAGAAGCAGAGCAGCCAGCCACTAGAGCTCTTACCTCTATAAAATCCTCAGACTGAAAAGACCTAGTTCCAGTCTCATCCCACCCAGCCATCTCACTTTCTGTCTCTCTGTACAGACCTCCAGAGGTCTATGGTTTAGCTAGTGGCTAGCTCTGCCCTCTGATCTTCAGGCAAACTTTATTTGTTAGAATACAAACAAGATATCACCACAGCTATCCATGAGGGCAAGATCCTTTTACTCCTCTGCCATAAATTCTGAATTGCCTGCTCTTCCTTTGTGCTTCTCATATGTTCAGTGTTAGACTTCCTGCCTATTTTTTGCTGAAGGTCTCTGTCCTCTAGAGTGAAAAACACTCTGATTTGAATTTTGACTCTTACCTTCTTTTAATTGTAATGATCTGAGAAAGTACTCAATAATAGATGTTTAACAGATGTTCACTGGCTAGTTAGCCGGCTGATTTGTTGGTGAGTGGATGGATGAATGGGTGGGACAAACGAACCTAATGGTGATTAGACTGACATTCAAGCCAGCATGGAAATGTCTGAATCTTACTGTTTTGTTTTTATTAGATGATAATGAAAAAAACTTGTCGCTTGGTCTTCAGACTCTTAGATCCCTGAAGGTAGGCCTGACTTTATTTCTCCTGTGATCCATCCTCTCAGAGGCAGGAAACTGAGAGTAACATCACTGACAAGTGACCAGTGATCTCCTTTGTTTTAGTGTATCATAAATTTGGACAAGCACCGGCTGATCGTTGGGAAGACAGACAAAGAAGAAATCCCTTTTGTGGAGACAGTTTCTTTGAATGAAGACAAGTGAGTACAGAAACCAGCCAGTGAAGTCAGATCCATCTGTCATGAGTTGTGGATTCTCACACAGTGTGTGGGGTTATAGATCACTGTTAGTTTTCAGTCACAGCAGAAGTCTGCCCTTTCCCAGACCAGAGTTCACTGTCCCACAGAACTCTGTAGTTCATGTGTTATAATAATAATAAAAAAAACGAGAACACACAGAATGGAGGTTGAAATCAGCAGTTTTTAAAGGTAGAGGGGTGTGTGTGTGTGTGTGTGTGTGTGTGGGTGTGTGTGTGTGTGTGTGAAACAAAATCTCAGTATATAGCCCAAGCATGAAATGAAGTGTGAGGTAGAAGTGAGGGCATTGAGATAGGGTTTTATTTTGTAGCCCAGGCTGGCTTTGAATTCACGAGCCTCCTGCCTTAGTCCTCTAAGTGCTGGGATTATAGGTCTATGCATGAGAAATTTTAAAGCCAGTTATTTGCCTTCAGATTAACTTCTTTGAATTTGCTTTCAGCTCTTTGTTTCTTTCTCATTTCAGCACGTCAGAAGCATAATTGCAGCCTGGAGAGTCTGCATGTGCACACACACCAGGTTGACAGACTGAGAAAACTGGGTTTGAACAAATGCAGTAGCAACTTGCTCTGGACCAAGTCCTTCCCTCCAGTACATCCTGCAGGGGCTTCTTCCCACTCAGACCTTTCTAGACTGTAGTCTGTGCTTAGAGATCTTGTCTGGTTAATGGCTTAATGGTTAAACAGCCATTGTTTTTTACTTCTTTGAATATTTAATTTATAGACCCTTTTTGACACTGCCAGGTCTCATTTGTGGCCTATTTCTCTGCTTATTCCAAGAATTTGCTAGTCCAGTGTAGGAGCTGCCAGGTTCTATTTCTCCACAGACAACACTTGATTTTTAAATAGTAAAATATGTAGTAAATAGGAGCCTCTTTTTAGCTGTTTCAAAGAAATGTAGAAACATGTCTTGAAGTTAGAGTCTCTTCTAATGAAGTAATTGATTTTTCCAGTGTGAACTGATGGATGTCTCAGAGAGCACATCTAGTCCAGACTATTTATTCAGTTAAACACACAGACAGGCAAGGCAGAAGACAGCCAGAATCTAGACTGACATCGAAGCTAAGGCTCTTGTGCTGCTTCACTTTCTCCCAAGCTTTAAGAGGGAGGCAGCAAGGTTAGAGTGCAAACAACAGAGGGTACTGATGTGGGTTAGTGGTGGAGTGCTTGTCTAATTCTTACAAGGTCCTGGGCTCAATTGCCGGCACTAGAGTAGAGAGAGATGGCTTGGTGATTAAGAATGCTTGCTGAGCAAGCATGAAGACTGCCATTTGGATCCCAGTACCCAAACAAAAGTTGGACACAGTCCTACACACATCTGTGATCCCGGAACTGAGGGCATTGAAGACAGGGTAACTGCTGGGGCTTTCTAGCTGCTGGTCTAGCCAAGAGAGGGAGAGAAAGAATGAGAGGGAGTGAGATTTCTCCAGAGACCATGCTTTAAAGGAACAAAGTAGAGAGTGATAGAGAGATAGAGGACACCCAACATGTTCCTCTGGCCTCTGTGAGCGTGCACAGGTGCACAGCTCCACATACACTCCTACAAATCCCTACACACTTCTACATATCCTCTCATAGACATACACCACAGAAGATAATGAGATGGGGGGATAAAAAACAGGCTGCAAAGATGAAACAGTCTCTTACAGTGAACTTAACAAGAGAAAAAAGAAACCACAGATAGCAAGGGATATTAGTTCCAGACATGCCATAGACGATGTGATTGTCACTATGAGATTGATTTCCCCTAAGAACCAGCCAGAATTTCTGTCTGTTTTGTTTCATATCAAAATGATTCAAGTAGCTGGAAAGAGGGGTAGAAAAGAAAAATAAAAGTCAAAGTAGGGCCAAAATAGAAGGGAGGAGACTGAGTACACTCAGTCAGTGGGAAAACCTACCTGGGAAACTCCCCTGGGATTGAAATAGGGATTGAAATCGTACAGGCAGGGAATTGAAGATTGGGAAACCCCTCAGTACAAGGCAGTGTTATGAACCATTAAGAGCTGGGTGTGGTGGAGGCATTTAATCCCAGCCCTCAGGAGGCAGAGGCAGTTGGATCTCTGAGTATGACACCAACCTGGTGTACAAAGTGAGTTCCAGGCCAGTCAGGGATACACAATCTCAAAAGACAAACAAAATAAAACAGAACAACCTTTATAATTGCCCAGGATTTCCTGACCCATCTCAGTGGTTTGGGGAAATCACAGGGAGGATGTTGTTTTTTGTTTTTGCTAATGTGTTATCTCAGGCATAAAGGTACCTATAATGGAATCCCCCCTTCAGTTTAGTTATAGAAGTATTTGGCTAGTCAGAAAACTACCCAATTGTGAGTATCCCTTCAAGATATTCCTAAGTCTACCCTAGGCTCATAACAGTTGTTCTCAAACTTTGAATCTTGTCTAGTATCCCAGCCATCAGCCTGCCCATGAGAGGGGAATGTGCTCTTCCACTGAGCTAGTATCCCAGCCATCAGCCTGCCCATGAGAGGAGAACGTGCCCTTCCACTGAGGTATCCCAGCCATCAGCCTGCCCATGAGAGGAGAACGTGCCCTTCCACTGAAGTGCCCTCCCTGCACTTCTGTTTATCACAGCGTCACACCGGCCTGTTTCTTATAGGCCAGAGCTGGACGATGTCACCCCCCTTATTTCCCTACTTGAGACTTCTACCCCAAGCCCTGACTCTTGGCTGCAAGAGAAGCATACTGCAGGCTCCTTCTAGTGTCTCCTTATTTGGATTTCTTGAGGCCAGCAATCCTCAGGCTCTTGAAAGATGCACTTGATCCTGGCCCTTTTGAGTTCAGCACTGTATTGCACTAGGTTGGATGGCCTTTAGTGTTCTTTCAGGTCTCTGAAAGTCGGTCAGTGATTTTTTTAATTTGGAAATAGAAACAACTGGGGTGAGCTGGACTCCATGTCATAGTTCGCTCAGCTCATTCAAATCATCTGAAGTCTTTAGCCAAATTATTTTTATTCCCAGGAGCAATAGAGACACCTAAAATGCCTCAAGATGATAAGAAATCTTGAGGTTCATTAATGCTTTTTTTTTTTTTTTTTTTTTTTTTTTTTTTTTTTTTGAAACAGGATCTCATTATGTAGCCTTGGCTGGCCTGGAACTCAGAATGTAGGTGAGGCTGGCTTCGAACTCATATAAATCTGCCTGCCTCTGCCTCCTGTCATTAATGCTTTTTAAATGCTGCCAAATTAGTTACTTTTGTAGCTTCTATCTCCCCAGTGTACACAAAGGGATACTGGCTCTGCTTTTGGGAGCTAGCAAAGAAGATAAATGAGTTTTTCTTATTCAGAAATCTAGTATAAGAAATTGTCCACCACATCATAGTTTTGAGTCTCTGGGAAATAGTAGCCGACCTGTCTCATTCCTTGGTAGATGTCACATCCAGGAAGTTGAAAAAATTTACTTTTGGTATTTATAATTGGAAGAAGGAATATTTTCTGACTTTCTTTTTTCCTTGCTCTGCACACAGCCCACTAGTATGACTTTCTGTTCCTTAGCTCAGAGCATCTGTAGATGGAATTACCTAGCTACCCTTACTCTTGTGTAGTAGAAACACCTTTTCAGGCTGGGGACATGGAGGAGATGAACTGGATTCCTCCCTCCTTCTGTTGCCAGGTCTCTCTGCATTAGCACTTTATCTGCTCAGTGTTTCTGGCTGTACTGGGCTTATTTGTGACACTGATATATCAATAAACTGGAACCTTTCCCTCTGTGTGCTTGTCTGATGGTCTTTGTGCCGGGGTCCCAACCTGCAAAGTGGAGGAGTCAGGGCACAGCCGGATTCCTTCGGCTTTCTGCTTTAAGGCCTTCTGAATGCAAGGCTATATGGTTTTCAGCTCAACCACTGTTACTGCTTTGGACAGATTGGTGAATCTCACTGAACCTGGCTTTGTGTCTATGAGACAATTAGAAAAAGTGCTGAATCCACAGTGTAAAGTGCTGGGTAGTCACCAAGCCTTCATCTACAAGAACAGTCTTTTATGTTGAACCTGTCCCTGGATAGCAACAACTCACAATAGCTGTCACTGTTATCCCAACCCAGCTCAACCTTCTACCACCCATATTCTCCTAGCACACTGCCCTCAAAACATCATCTGGGACATGATTTGTGTCTCTGGTAGCAGGGAGGGGACAGGAGTCTTGCTAGACTCTAAGATGAGGTCTTCTTGGGAAGGTTGGGAGCAGGTGGTCACAGCTGCTCTGATTTCAAGATGACAACAGCTGGAGGACTGGAGAGACAGCTTAGTGGTTAAGGGCACTGGCTGCTTCTGCATCAGTTGCAACTGTTTTGTTATTTTAGGAACCCAAGAATTTAGCAGCCACAGTGGCATCCGCAGCTCCGGAAACAGAAATGACATTCTGGCTACAAGATTACTGGTACTATGATGGGCACTAGTCAGTGATAACATGAATGGTAAAGCACATTTAATGTGTTTCACAGAGTGCAGAAAATCTCATATTTAAGGAAACTAAATAAGAAGGGCAAACTGACAGGTACACATGATACAGTGATCACTTGGGCTTCCTAATTCTGACTTTAAGTTTGGAGACTGCTCCTCTTGCCTTCCTAATCATTGCCCACAAGAGAATTTCTCCAGCTTTTGTACCCTGGCCTGTTAGTCAAGAGGAATGGAGTAGGGGCTGGGGACATTTAGTGGAAAAGAACTAGCCTAGCATGTGCGAGGTTCTGGGCTCAATCCCTAGCAAGTAAAATAAATAAGAAAGGGACTAGGAAAACCCAGGAGAAGGCAGGGAGGAGGACGGATGCTCACATGAGTGCAGGTATAAACAAAACAGCTCTAAAGTGATACTGGTCAGAGGTCTTTCCTCACTTACCCAGTTCCCCAGGTTCTCCCATTTGCACTTTGGGCATCCCAGGCTCATCTCTCCGGTTGGAAAGAAATCAAACAAGGACTCAAGTACCTGCTATCCCTGTGACAACAAAAGGAATTTCTTTCCTTCCCCCTTTCTCTTTCCCTGATCCACACATTAATGCTTAGATCTCAGTCCCCAGCTCCAAAGATACTAAGACAAAGGTTCCTATGCACAAAGGGTCCACAAGATTTTGGTAGGGGTGGGAGCACAAATGCATATGTGAGAACACAACTTTACCATAGAGAAGTAAGTTAGGAAAGAGATCTGCAAAACCACAGACAGGTATACTTGTCAAGTAAGGTTTTCTGGCATTAAAGATCCATGATCTACATGAAAAAGTCATACATGTATAAGCAGTACAGGGCAAGAGGAGCCGAGCCTTCCACTTCTATTAAAGTCAGCTGAAATTACATTTATTTTTGGTAGACATAACTTCTCCCAAACCTGTACCAGTTTCTCCCCATCACTGCTCTTTTTACCTTAAACTAAATCTCCAGTCTGTGGTCGGTTACACTCCACTAATGGCTGTCATATGATGCATTCTAGAACAAAAAATTTTCTAGTAGCCACATTAAGGGTTGAGGGTTTTTTTTTTTTTACAGAGAAATTTATTATTTTAATAAACATATCCAAAATATGTAAATGTTAATCATTATTTAAAATTTATTTTATGTATATGAGTGTTTTGTCAGCATGTATGAATGTGCACCACAGCATGCAGAGCCACTGGGAAACAGAAAAGAGCAACCACGCCCCTAGAACTGGAGTTACAGAGGTTGTAAGCTGTCACGTGGGTGCTGGAAACCAAACTCAGTCCTCTGTAAGAGCAGCAAGTGCTCATACTGCTGAGTCATCTCTCCAGCCCCAACTGTAATCAGTATTTTTAAAAAGACTTTTTTGTGTTTCTCTCATGCTGACTTTGAAATAAGTATGTAGTTACAGCATAGCTCAATTTAGATTATTCACATCTCAAATGTTCATTGGCTCTCCAGTTCTGTCTACAATGAGTGTATCTGATGCTTCTTCACTAATGAGGATGACGTGGGAACCCACACCTGTAGTCTGTTATTAAGGAGGCTGAGGGAGAAGGAGCACTTGAGCCCACATGTTTGAGACAGCATCAACAAAGAACAAATAACCCATCAGCCTCGGGCACTGTTGTGTTCCTCTAAGTCTTTGTGCCCCACATCAAACCTTTGAAAAGAATTTTGAAGGAGGTGCACAGGAGGGTTCCTATGCTTTATCTCAAGAGCACACATTCCTTTTAGATGTCAAACTTACAGATCCAAGCTGATCCAAATTGGCTACTTAGGTCAGCTTTTAGCAATCAGATCCACAGTGCCTCACCAACAAATTTCATACTGACAGTCCTGCGATCAGCAGGACACCACTTAGAAGGACTTGAATTATCCCTGATGTGACAGCATCTTCACAAGAACTGGCGAAAAAGCATCCAGTCCTGCTGATATCGCTCCAGGACAGTTGCCATTAGGACTAAAAAGAGCTAAGTATATTTAATGTTATAGTAGTTTGTGCTAGGTTCTCGTCTAGCATCAACAAGAAACATACAGTAGAAAAATACTGAGAAAATTGTACCCAGTAAATAAAACATTTTCACCAACTAGGAAAGGACCACTTTTAAAAAAATGGTTATCTTTGGGAATAGATTTTGAAATTCATAGAATTCAATTCCCTCTTATTGAAGGGAAGTGATTTTCCTGATGACATTCAGCAAATACCTAAGGGTTGTGATGAGCATGCTGCATCCTTTCCACTACCCCCTCTAATATATATGTATGTATGTATGTATGTATGTATGTGTGTGTGTAGTTTATAAGTACATATATATTATATATACACATATATGTATACACACATATATGTATAAAATTAGAGGCACTGTGTCCTCTCTAGGATGCTCCTAAAGTACCAGCAGAAGAAACCTCAAAGAGTAGGGTCAGTGCTCCCAGAACTGAGGGGTCGGCTGGTTTAAATATGTCTTGCCTCACAGGAGCTTAGTGCCTGGATTCTCCACCTCCAGTAGTTCTGGGGGAGCGGGGATGCTACCGGTGCGGTCCATATGTAGCGGAGCCCAAGTTGAGCCAGCCCAGCTCCACAGTCGTGGCCCTCTTCCCAGCCCCAAGCTGCACCAAGGAGGTCAGCCCTTAGTGGAAGCCACACCCACGTAGGCAGCCCACAGCGACTGTTGGAGGTCCTGCAGGGAGCTGAATCCAAGAGGCGCACGGAGCGCAGGTTAGTCTCAAAGCCCGGGAACGAGAGCTCCGACTCTCCGCCTCCGGGTGGGCTTGGGAGCTCCGAACGCTCGGCCACTACTCCCGGCCAGGGCTCCACGCGCAGCACCCTCTCGGCCTCGGCAGTTCCCGGGGATGGGGCTCACCCAGCCTGCAGGACTCGGCCTGCGTGACCTACTCCCCGGAGCAGCAGGGCTAGCCAGCCCCGACCGGGACAGACCCCAGACTGTAGTGCAGCCCGGTGACGGTGGCGGTGGCGGTGACGGTGGCGGTGGCGGTGGCAGCGGCCGCGGCAGGCCCGACGCACCCGGAACCGTTTCCGGGGCGGAGGCTTTCTCGCAGCTGACCCGGCGCGGACGGTGACGCGCAGGCCCAGGCGGAAGTGCGGGCGGAGGATCCCGAGCTGGATCCCGAGCCGGGAGCGGGGCTCGGGGCTCGCTGGGGCGGCTGGCTGCAGAGATGGCAAGTCTGTGGCACGGAGGCCTGCTGCGGCTGGGCCCGGGGCTCAGCCTGTCCTGCCTGGCGCTGTCCGTGCTGCTGTTACCGCAGCTGACAGGCGCCGCCAAGGTGAGTCCCGCCCCGCCAGGCTCCTGACAGGAGCTCCGCCCCTGCCTCTGGCCTGGCTGATACCGGGGCTGCCCACTTGCTCCCCACTCCCGGGTTCTCCTAATCCGACAGCCAGAGCCCCTGCTTCACAGCCCCGACCAGCCCTGCCCAGAGCTCAACCCCTGACAGTCCCCGGAGCCGGGTCTGCAACTCCTCCTCCACCTCCTGACATTTCCCTTCCTATCCCCGACAGCACACACCCGGAACTTGAGGAGCTTTCCAGCCCTGGGAGCTTTGAACTTTCCACCCTTAAACTCCGGTGGCCCACTCCGGCCCTTCACCAGCCCGCAGGCCCCAACTCAAATCATGGGAAATCCTCACCTTCATGAAGTCTTCCCTACTAGGGACTAGCTCCTCTCGACTAATCCATGAGCAGATTCCATTGCCATGGTGGGGGCTCGCCTCTCGTGGCAACCACCCCTTCCCAGGAGGACCTACAGAGTTATCTCACCAGCCTGATACTCTCACCTCCACAAAACAACCAGGATGTCACACCACAAACATGTACACACACACACACACACACACACACACACACACACACACACACCGACCTACCACCCTCCCTCCCTCTTCTGATAAGGGAAGAACCAGCCTAGGAAAGAGGAGAGATTGTGTCCTTTCCCTTTTTGTGTTTCTTAACCATTCTGGTCCCCTCATGTTGTTATCTGGTGTCCCAGAGCTGCCATGGCCCAAGAAACATGTGCTTTCTTCCCAGTGAGCTAACTCATTTTGGGACAAAAATAGGTGTGGTGATGTAAATGACACTGCATTTTTAAAAGAGGAGTTTTATAATATCTTTAAATATTATAAAGGGCTGGGAAAGACAGGTTACAGGAAGGCAGATGTTTTTGGTGAGTTTTTTTTTCAATCTTTCTGATATCACCAGAAATAGGGACAGCAGAAAGTCTCCCAACTTTTGTAATATTGTTGGAACCCTCTGCCTGGATGTCATACATGACCATTTTATGTAGTGTATCATGATATACATAATACATGCATTTGTCTATCTCCCCTTGATAGGATTTGTTCCAGTAAACAGGAGCCACGCCTCTTGTTTTTCTGAGTCGTCCTCATTGAACACAGGGTCTGGCACTGTGGTGGCCAAATACATTTAGGAATTGCCAACAGCTCTGCCAGACATTTCATTGTACGTAGGGACAGTGGACAAGTCTCTCTGGGGAATAATGAGCCACTGCCTTCTCAAATAAACACCCCTTTGCTGAGAAAGCATGTCTTGGCCCTGTCCAGCATTTAATGTCTGCTTTCTCTGCTTGATGAAACTTGTTTTGCTAGGAGTTGTCCTCCTGTTAACTGGGGGGAAGGGGCATTAGCAAGGTTTGGCAAGATTAAAGCTACTTTCCCTTTGGACTACCCTCCTAGCACTGACTGAGTGCCCCTGAATCTTCATCCTGTCTATAGCTAGCGAAGCCCCTTTTATCCATGCTCAATGCCTTTCTCCCAAAAGGAAAAAAGTTAGAAACAATGAAGTTAGTAGAATTCTGGCTTCCCCCCACTTTTGTTGCATGCAGATTGAATTGGCCTTGTGTGTGCTGCATATGCCTTAGCACTGAGCCACATCCACCCTCAGCCTGGAATTATGGTGTGCTTGTAAATAATTTTTATTTTAATTCTCCCCAGTCCTTTTGTATCAGCATTTCTCTTCGTGTCTTTCTAGTGGCAGGTAGATGACAACACAATTTGGTTGTCATGGGATTCATAAATGTGTTGAATAAAACACACACCAGGTCTTGTGGGCTTTAAGGATCTTTATGATGGTTTTAGAATACCTGACAGGATACTTGTCGAAGTGTATTGTGCAGATGTTTTTTTTTAAATATTGATGATACACTATAAACAAGTTATGCTTTCATTTTCGTTACAGAATTTTGAAGACGTGAGGTGTAAGTGTATCTGCCCTCCCTATAAAGAGAACCCCGGGCATATTTATAATAAGAACATATCCCAGAAAGATTGGTAAGTATTATGGGTCAAGAAATCACCTGTCACGTTTCTATCTGTGGTTTTTACTGTTAACTCAGAATATTCATACATTGTTTCATTTAGTTTTTACGCAAAAATGTCAAGTTCTATTTCTTTAAAATGAGACTAGGGTCCTGAGTGCATGATACAAAACTACAGGAATACTGTAGCCCAGACAGGAAGCTCTAGGCTAGGAGGTTTCATATGGAGATGGGACTGAGTTTATTGTGCCTAAACTACCAATAGCTACTGTCTTGTGCCCTCTTAAACTTACTCTTACTCTTACTTCTCAGTGAAAGGTAAGTTGAGACTTTTTAAGCACTTTAAAAATTTTGTATGTGTTCAGGCACACATGTGTGAGTGTCTGTGGAGACCAGAAGAGGGTATTGAATTCCCTGGAGCTGGTGTTACAGGTGTTTGTAAGATGACAAACTTGGGTGCTGGCAAATGAACTCCAGTCCTCTACGACAGTAGCCAGCACTCTTAACTACCAAGCCCTCTCTCCAGCTGCTGGTTTATAGTTTTTACAACTCATACAATTTTTTTTTTGCTGGGAGTAGGGGGTTGTTTTGGTCTGGGATTTGCTTTTTGTTTGTTTGTTTGTTTGTTTTGAGGCAGGGTTTTACTGTATAGCCCAGATCAGCCTGGCACCTGTTTTGACAGCAGGCTGGACTCAAGCTCTTGATCGTCTTGTCTCTACTTCCCCGGCCACATTTTGTAAGTTTTGATGGCATAGTGTGAAATATTGGAGGCTATATTTAAAAGTTTCAGAGATTCAGGAATGAATGAGAATGAAGTGTGTGTCAGTATTTCTCCTTTGGTATGTGTCAGTGGGTTCGGAAAATGTTGAGAGATCCTTCAGCCCTTAGGCAGTCAGGCAGGCCTGTAATGTCTGGAATCCTGATGGACTAGTTGACTACCAGCAACTTCTCAGGTTATCCCAGTGGACCTTAAAAATGGCAGATTTTCTGTATGTGCCTTGAAACAGGAAGCAGCCAAGTTATACAGCAGAATGGACGTCCTTCCTCGCTCCAAATAATACGTGCTTTGGTGTGTGCCTGATTTTGAAGCTCTGTAGTCAGCAGCAATCTGAAAGCAAGATTAAATTTGTCTGTCATGTTTCTAAGATGACTTTGAGCACACTTAATTTCTCTGGTGCCATTGTTTATTCTTCCCACAATATGCATTTAGGTTCAGTCTGTTTAGTATGTTCTTGTGATCCTGTGAATGTCTGTGTTCCACTTAAAGAGATTTTTTATGTTACAAAGTGATTGGGATTGGTTTTTGTTTTGTTTTTTTGTTTTTTTGTTTTGTTTTTTTGTTTTTTTGAGACAGGGTTTCTTTGTGTAACAGCCCTGGCTGTCCTGGAACTTGATTTGTAGACCAGGCTGGCCTGGAACTCACAGAGATCTGCCTGCCTCTGCCTCTCAAGTGCTGGGAATAAAGTAATTTACCACCATGCCAGGCTATTGATTGGGGTGTATTTTTAATAGACTTTGTACCAGCAGATTATTTTATATAATACATACAAGCTAAAATTCTTTTTGTACTGGAAATAATATCCAAGGCCTTGTAAGTTCTGGACAGTGTCCCCAACCCTCAAATACATCTTAAAGTTACTTCTATAATTTCCCCAAAGCTGTTGAATGTGTGTATAGTCAGTTTGTTTTCTTATCGGTAACAGATGTGATGTTTATTAATGGAGTGGCAACTACTTTTCAAGTGTTTAACACTAATTTTTTGTTGTTAACTTTTTGTTATTCTATGATGAGACAGGGCCATGTCTTCATCCCTGGTTATAAATTAAAATTAGGAGCTTTAAAAATGAGTAGTTGAGGAGTTGGAGAGATGTCTCAGCAGTTAAGAGCACTGGCTGCTCTTCCAGAGGACCTTGGTTCAATTCCCAGCACCTATGTGGAGGCTCACAGCTGTCTGTAACTCCAGTTCTAGGGTATACAACACCCTCATACAGGCATATATGCAGGCAAAACACCAGTGCACATGAAACAAAAATAATTTTATTTTTTTTAATTAAAATTAATTAAAATTAATTTTAATTTTAAAAAGAAATAGTTGAAAACAAGACTTACTAGGATTTTTCCTTCCATCTCCTCTACTTTGCCTTGCTTGTCTTTTGCTGATATATGTTCCCAATTGACAGTGCACATTTATTTAACTTGTTTGGAAAGACAGGCAAGTTATTGTCTATCAAGATGCTATGGCTCTCTGAGGACCCGGGTATCTGTGAGTCCCTAAATACACTTTAACATTCTGTTCTCTAGGCCTCTTGTTTTGTCCAGTTCTTAGCTTTAATTCTTCATTGACTTGGAATAGTTGATTAAAAACAA